CAGCTCCCACCTGCTGGCACCCCGCCCAGGTGGTCCCAGGGGGTGCTGGCCCTGTGAAGGGAAGCACCTGGGCCCACTGGCAGCTTGTTCCCTGGCTGTGGGAGAGGTGGACAGGCTCCGGGGGTGGGGAAAAGGATCAGGCCCCCCACTGCTTTTTTTTTTCTTTCCCCCCGCCCCCCTCCATTTTGGCAGAGCCTGCTGGTGCTTCATTCTAGCTCTGATTTGCCTGCACATGTGTTTGAAATGCCTCAGAATCTATAATAATAAGATGCCTATTCTGTCTGTCTGCAGCACTGTCTGTCCAGACCAGAGCACTCTGATTGGTTGTTTCAGTAAGCATTGTGATTGGCTGCTGAGACAACCAATCGGAGTGCTCTGCTCAGACCGACTAAGCCTATTATTATAGAATATATGAACAATTACCTTGGATAATTCTGTGGCACATCTTGCCTTCAGATGGCTGTCATTATTTTTTGCATCTCTGTATTTATTTTAAAATGTATACAATGGATCTCTCCTTTTTAAACACACAATTATCTCTTGCTGACTAAACATCTCTATGAAACTTCTGTTTGGTATCTTCAAAAGATCTGATGTGTATTATGCAAAAAAAAAGCAGTATCTTAAAAACAAAACAAACAAACCAATAAATTTAAAGTTAGACATCTTGTTTCAGTAAAGAAGTAATTCTAGGCTTCTCCTTCCTTTTCTGTGAGGAGCAGTGTTTTCTATAAAAGATGGCAGTAATTTTCCCTGTATCTCTTCATTTAGCTTTGCAAATACTTAAATGCCTGCACATGGGCAGACCATTATTTTTAAAAATAAGTTTTAAATAAATTTCAGTTGCATTAAAAAAATCTGTTTGGCTGAGGACAGAAAGCTCTTTGCGATGAAGAACAGAGCTGCATTTTCATATGAAGATTCTGATTCACATCTTATACATCTAAAGCTGATTTTCATAGTTTCATAGTAGCTAGGGTCAGGAGGGCCCTGAACAGATCATCTAGCCTGCCTCCCTGCCACAGGCAGGAATGAATGCTGGGTTCACAAGACCCCAGGCAGGTGATCGTCCAACCTCCTCTTGAATTTGCCCAAAGTAGGGGTGAGGACCACTTCCCTGGGAAGTTGGTTCCAGATTTTGGTCACCCTAACTGTAAAATATTATCTTCTGATCTCTAACCTAAACCTATTCTCCATCAGCTTATTACCATTGTTCCTCGTCACCCCAGGTGGTGCTGGGGTGAAAAGGCTCTCCCTTTTCTCCCCAGCATCTAAGGCTCTTTCTTATGGGAATGGTAGAGCCTACCTATTTATTGTTGACCTCCCCTGATGAGTTTGTAGGCAGCCACCAGGTCCCCACTCAGCCTCCTCTTGCCAAGGCTGAACAGGTTCAAGTCCCTCTGTCTCTCCTCATAGGGCCTGTCCTGCTGCCCTCTCAAGCGAGTGGCCCTCCTCTGAACTCTCTCCAGGCCACATCCCTTTTGAAGTGTGGCGCCCAGTACTGGATGCAGTATTCCAACTGCGGCCTGACCAAAGTCGCATAGAGGGGGAGTCTCACCTCTCTGGACTGGCTTGAGATGCACCTTTGGATGCATGACAAGGTATGGCTGGCCTTGCTGGCTGCGGTCTGGCATTGGCGGCTCATGTTCATCTTGGAGTCAATAATGACTTCAAGATCCCTTTCTGCCTCTGTGCTTTCAAGAGGGGAACTT